AGTGTTCAGGGAAGCACCTACACAGGAGTCTGTTTTATAAAGTATCAATTCTTAAGAAAGAGCTAAATGGAACTTTGTTCTTACATTTGGAATAGGGAAGAAATGAGGGTGAGTCAATTCTTTGGAGGTAGCAGGGCTTATAAAAAGTCTTGTTGCAGAAACAGAAATGTAGACGGAGCAGCCAATCACTACTTACAACTGTACCTGCTCCTATTAGTCAAAGAGACAATATTTAGTGTGCTGTCTCTGAAAGAACAAGAGCCGGTGTGAACCCTGGAATGTCTGGTTATGAAGAAAGATGTTTACCAACTTCCCCACAAGATAGTCAAGATGGTGAGCTGACCAGTGTTAGCTATACAAATGAGTCCTTTGCTAGCCAACTGTTAAAGTTTTAGGCTCCATAAAAGCAGGCACATATTCTGAAAGAGGCAGAGCTTGGCAATATGCTGCATTGACTGATTATTTGAACTGAGTTTTTAAAATCATGACTACGTTCATTTTTACTTTGTTCAGCATTTTGTCTTTTGACATTTTATCTTTTAAACATTATGTTTATTCATCATTTAGTCAGTTTGACTCTTGTTCTCTTCAGCACTTTGTCCATTCAACACTTAGTCATTTTGATACTGTCTGTTTGACATTTTGTCCATTCGTCATTTTGTCTTTCAATACTTTATCTTTCTACACTTTGTCCTTCAACCTACTACCTGTATATGAGTTCTACCCAATAGATGTTCAAAATATAGTTCCTCAATGAGAGTGGAACTGTTCATCATGTCTGAACAGTGGTGAGGAAATTATACTTGCTTGGTTTTTGAGATATTGCAAGCCAGTTTTTTACCTATTGTACTGTTAGGTGAAAAAAGAGATCAGCTGCTTGGCTCCAATCATCTTGATTTTTGCAATTGCATTCATAAACAGTCATATCATCTGCATAGATATTTACTAGAAATCTGAGAGGTCTTCCTTGGAGATCTTATTCTTTATTTCCAATGTGTGTATAGATGGCTGTAGAAAGATGGTTTGTTTTGTTGCAATGAAAAGCAAGTGAAATTTAAACAAATAAATCATAGTAAAGCAATTCAAAAGATGAACAAATATATTTAAATTTGTGAATTTCTATTTTTTTCTCTCTCTGTGCACAAGAAACAATATCTGATCTTGTCTATCAGTGGCACCGTGATTCTTACTTATGTCATATCTTTATTGCTTATATCATATCTAGTGATGGGATGATACCAATATTTTTACCAATTCTGATACAATTCCTGATATTGTTCTAAATTTCCGATTCTGATACAATTCCCAATTCCAATTTCAATACCTACAAGATTAAAATTCATTATTTTCAGGCTCTACAGTTGGTTTGGGAAACTTAATGAACAAAGTACATTTATTAATAAAAACATTTAGTAGAAAAATGAATTCAAAAACTTATGAAATAAAGTTAGATATCCTTTTTATTTAAAAAATTGGGTAAGAGTTTAAACAATAAAGAGAACAATTTCTTTACATAAATCATTTAAAGTACCTAGCTACAGTTGATATATTATTTTATTTTGGTTATCATCAGAAATCTTTAAAAAAAATCTTCCAAACTACACTTTTCTGCTTGGCATTGGATACATTTGCCATAATTTAAATTTTTCACTGTTGGATAAAAAAGTTTCTAGTTTTCTAATGTGTATAATTTGTAAAGATTCACCTAAATAGTTTACTATTAATTGTAAAATAAAAAAGGGTCTATTTTTTTTGTCCACCTTTTAAGTTTTAACAAGCAAAGGCACCCTCTAAATATTATGCAATCTCCTTAAAATTTTATATGTGGCATTTTTCAATGAATGGAACAAATTTAGGGGTGACAATTCAATTTCAGCATGCGCTTCAAAAATAAGAGACACCCTAATCTATAGATATAAAGTTGTAGCCTCTGTCTGTTTGTTATTGAACTCCTTGCATATATATTCTGAAATTACATTACCTTTGGATAAGTATATTTCATTTTGATCAAAATAGGGTCCCCAATACACACAACCCAGCTGAAATTTTTTTTTCCTTTTGATTTAAATTAAATTTAAATTTGAACAAGGAAATAACTCCTATCCAAGATATAGAAGGAGAAAACCAAAAGATAGAGATCACATCTACAAGATCAAAATGAGACAATATGGATGTCAAGTTGAGCAAGAAACCATCAATCAGTGGGTAAAAATACATATTTGTCGTGATCAATAACTTGTTAATATCAAAAGTGAAATCTGCTCATCAATTCATTCAATTAAATATTACATCAAATATATATCAAAGGGGTCAGATCAAGCTGTTTTTTTGCAAACCTCACTTAAAATATTTTTCCCTTTTATTTAAATTAAAATTAAATTTGAACAAGGGAATGACTCCTATCCAAAATATAAAAGGAGAAAGCCAGAAGATGGAGATCATGTTGGCAAGATCATTGAATAATATTGAAATGTATCATTTTTCTCCACAAATTATAACAATGATTTAAAATCAATCGACATTTTCTTACAAAGAAAAAAAAAATGTGTGACACACAGCAAGGCACGGGTAATTTGGCTAGTATATATGTAATATTGCAACAATAATACTCTAAGCAGAAAGGCATCATCCTCTGTATTGTGGTTTAACTAACTCATGTATATATTCTGATAAAATACAAAGAGTACCTAGTCCTGCAGGACAGTGAATAAAAAATAAATGCAAATTTTAAATTTGCTTACAGACGTTTAATAAGAATTAAATATGAATTGTCACAGCAGCTTAATGAATAATAAAGGGGTTTTCAATCTTATCTAAAAAATGTAATCACTAATATGTTTTACTGTCTAAAATAAATTTCTCACAACTAATCAATTTAATAACTTCTAAAAAGAATCAGTGTTTTTTTGGGTTTTTTTTGTTAAAAGAAAAAAGAGTAAAAGTGCAACAACATAGTAAAAACATATCCCTTGATATTTTTTTTAAAGAGGATATAAGCAATTTTGGCAAACTTTACACTAAATTTTAAAAATTATTAGGAAGTTGAAAGCTAAATAACACTGATATCCATCTTGATCATTTTAAGGTATGAGATTCAAATGTTACAAAGCATTAAAATAAAAATAAGATTAAAAATGATTAAAATTTTTATAAGCATGAGAACAATTATAAATGTGTATTTTTTGCATGAGATTGATTTTTTTTTTTTTCATTTATTTATTAGAAAAAAATTAGTAAAATAAAATTAAATACAATTTTTGATGGAAATTAAATTTTAGGTTTTTTAATACAAAATTTTGTGTGAAAAAGCTTTTTTTTTTCAGGAAACTAGAAATAAAAGTTTAATTTTTTTTTTTTTAAGTAAATGAAGATGAAAATCCGTTTTGAAAGTTATAAAATGTTAAGAAATATAATAATTTCGTAGAAACAAAATTAAGTTTCATAAAAAGAATGTTTAATTTTAAGTCTTGGTTATTGAAAAGAAGATTTATTTTTGTTTACATAGTAGGCTATGTAAACAAAAATAAATCTTTTCAATAACTGAGACTAAAAAAATTATTTTATTGATTAAAACTATTATAAAAATAAATTGTTATAAATTAACTGCCTCACCACAAGGACAGTTTGTAACACAAGTTCAATTTTTTATGTGAAGAAATCAAATGTGACATTGGTGGGAATTCCATACATTTTTTTTCTTTTTTATAAATTTAAAAAAATAAAAAAAATTGTCTTAAAAGAGAGCTTAACAGAACAACAATGTGAATTCATTTTGTATTTATATTACATAATTTTGATTATTATTATTAAATTAATAATTTATAATATTAAATAGATAAGTTAACAATTTTTAAAAAGAAATTAAAAATAAAAATTTTATTTTGAATTGAAACAGACTTTAAACTAGTGAACTTTATGGAAATTTTGAGAACTGAGTAGAAACTTGCACATTATTTTTTTTTTTTTACACAAGTAAAATAATTTTACATCATACTTAACTTAGGTATTATTATTATCTATAGATTTTAGTTTCACTGATAGTTTGAAATCAATAAATATTTATATCTTTTTATCATTAGTAACAGGAATGGAAAATTAAGTTTTAAACAAAAAAAAAACTCCAAAGAATCATTTTTGAAATCAGAAATTATGTTAAAAATTCTCCGATTTCAATGCTGATCCCAGTACCCCAAAAAGTTATTATATTTCTGATTCTCGATTCTGATTCCAATTAATCATCCCATCACTAGTTCATATCTGATCTTGTCTATCTGCGTCACCATGATTCTTCCTTATGTCATATCTTTCTTGCTTATATCATATCTGATCTTGTCTATCTGCGGCACCATGATTCTTGCTTATGTCATATCTTTTATTTGATTCTCCTCTCAGGTTGGAGGATTGATTTGTTTTTTAATGGCATGTCACCTCTTCATGGATCATTTAATGCAAAAACTTAATTTTGTAAGCTTTGATAATTTAAAAATTTTCTTTTAATTTTATTTATTACATAAATGTATTGCTGCTAATTTTTTTTATATGAAAATGTATTGTTGGTATTTTTACTATAAAAAATACTTTAAAAAATAAAATGTGTTTTTATATTTTCATGTTTTAACCCCAATTTGGGGGTTCACTTTTGGCCTATAGCTGGGACCCTAACAGTTACTACCACCCTGGGTGTGGACTTGGGAATAACAACAATTAATAGGTGGTTCCACACTCCTCGAAACCTCCCAATCAGAGGCCTTGCTGCTGAATGTAGTTTATCATTATCAGGTTGAAGGAGATATTTTTAAAAAATCTAGAAATTATATCTGAGGTTTACATTAATACAGAACAAAATAAGGTTTTATTTCTTTTATCACAATTAATCAAAGGTTATAGCAATGCAATTTAAAAGATTCATTTTTTTTATTGTACATACTATTGTTTGTTGTACTGATTATTATATTTTGTATTTTTTTAATATTATTTAAATATTTTTATTTTTTTGTAAGAATGTGGTGTACAGTCGTGACATCTTATTAGGAGTTACCTCCTCCTGGACCAAGTATCCTCACTTACCTGCCCCAGGCCTTTTTACAGATCGCAAACATTCCAACTTTTTTCAGGTAAGTTTAAAAACATGACAGCATCATTAGATGGAATAATCAAATTCACTCTTTGCCTTTTATTAAAAAAAGGAGCCATTAAAAATAGGGAGATAATCATTTATCAGGTTTTACCAAAATATTTTTGACATTTAGTCAGTTTAGTACAGCATAAAGAAACTGGGTTGGGAAGATTGTGTTCTGTATCTCTTCCTCGTGGAGACAGCCTCCCTGCCTTGAAAATCAACATTCAAAATCCTAGCTTTTATCTGAACATAAACCCCATGCAAGCATTTCAGCTATAAGGTAGGTTAGATATAAATATTTTTGACATCTATATATTTTAGCATTTGTCTTTATTTTATTAATTTCTCTATTATTATGTTGGTGTCACACACTGACGTTATCAACAGAAATTCTGTTCTTAAGGCATAGTGTCAACAAGACTCCTCACAACTAAGGAACATTCCAAAGAATTCTGATGACAGTTTTCTGGAGGTCTACAATCTTGGTCTCAATTCCAATTCTCCATAAGCATTTTTTCAGTTGTCTAGTACTGAACTTTTATGTAATACTAGTTCTCTTAATGCTGGAAAATCTCTTCACAGATGAAGAAGAAACTTGAAGCAACAGAAATATGATTCTACAGAAGGATGCTGAGAATACCATGGATCAAACGTGAGCAACGAAAAAGTTTTAGAGGAAATGGAAACAAAAAGGATACATATACTTAACATAAGGAAGCGACAGTTGAAATTTCTAGAGCACATAATAAAGAAAGAGGGCTTGGAAAATTTGATACTCACAGGACAGATTGAAAGCAAGAGAGACAGAGGAAAACAATGCATAACCTACCTAGCGAGCTTGAGGTTTAGGAGAGATAACAAAAAGATAAATTAATAGCTACAAAGGACAGGAAATTGTGGAGAGCCATGATTGCCAACATCCTGAAGAAACACGGTACATAGAGAAAGAAGAAGAGGTGATGTTTCAAGCATACCCATTACTACAGGAATTAAATATTATTATTATTATTATTAAACAAAATGATTGCCACTCATCCAATAAGTTTTAAGACTTAAGAGAAGAGAGTGATTTAAGAAAAGAAAAAAAAACACAGTGTTTGACAATGTTAAACAATATTTTGACAGAATGTCTGTCTGTCTTTAAGTTATATTTGAAAAAGATTTTTCAAGTACAAAAATATTGCATTTTAAAAGTCGAAAGGTCTTAAATTGCACATTCTGAAAAAATATTCAGAATCTACTGAACTTTTGACATTTAAAATGCATGAGGATAGTTACGTACGCAAATTACTAACTTCCCACCCATGGGGAATGAACAGAATGTGTGTTTCATAAGATTTATACTAAGCTGTTTGACTAATCCCTCCTAGTAAGTAATCAACTAATAGAAAATTCCAAGATGGACAAGATCATCATCATCATATTAAGTACGTTTCAGTTGCGTGCCTTCACACTGGCAGCGTTTCATTTGTTTTGACGCATTCATTACCAAGCAACATTTGTATAAAGACATGATTTTTTTGTAGATTTAAATATTTTTATACTTGGAAAATAATTGTTTAAATCTAACTTGAAGACAGACATTCTGTTGAAATATTTTTTAACATTGTCAAACAGTGTTTTTTCTTTTCTTTTCTTAAATTGCACTCTTTTCTTAATTTTTATTATTATTATATGTGCATACTTATATTAATATCTGTTCTTCAAAGTAACACAAATGGGACTTTGATAAAAATCAGTATGATTAATAAAATATTACAGTAAATCATAGAAAAATGGTTTATGCATTACCTGCATTCTTTATGGTGGATATTATTACATATTTCAATGCTTCTATTCTTTATTTTTAGTTATTTTTTATTCTTTCATTATGAGATTAACATATAAACAACGTATCACTTATGCTGCAAATTTTATGTTTGTGTGAGTTGTGTAAATAACATGGACACTAAGTTTATTTGTATTTTTTTTCTTTTAATCATTTCACCCCAAGCAAGATGTTAATGCTGCTAAGACGCAATAAGTTTTTGGGAGGGAAAGAGAATGAGAAGAGTTGTCACAAGAAAGGACAATAAAAGAACAGGATTTAGGAAGACAGAAGATGGCAATTGATATTGCATTTAAATTTTTTAAGACTAGGTGGCAGGAAAACAAACAACCGGAAGAGTTCCATAGGTGAAAAGTATGAGAAAGGCTATTAGAACAGATCTTATGGTTGCATTTAGCTAATTCAACATTAAAATGATGAGACCTAATTGCCAATCTAGTAGTACACTTAAATTCACACAGTTGAGGTACCAAGTAAGAAAGCTCATTAAAACAATTGCTGTGAAAATATTTATAGAAAAGCAGAGGGAAGCATCATCATGGCAGTGGGAAAGTGAGTGAAGTTATGATGCAAAGTCAGGCCCAATAATATTACAGATTCTTTGGATTTTGATGAGAATCTAAGAGATATAGCAGGAGCACCAGACCAGATATAACGGAAATATTCAATGCACTGACAGATGGTAGATTTATAAATATGCATTTTCTGACACTACACTGAATCAACTTTCCTAACAGTAAACATAGCAATTGATTCAGTAGTGAACCAACTATTCCAGATTTTCTTATTTGAATGAAGTCAGAAATCCTTTAAATTATAAGTAGAAACATTATAATTTAAGTAAACAGTAGCTGAGAGGGTCTGAACAGATGTAGAGTGAATGTGTTCAACTCAAAGGTGACAGGGTGATATGACGTGTTCAGTGGACGAGGGGCGTATTTTTGTGGCAATACACGCTTAAAGGTTTCAGGCAGATTTGATCAATATTTCTTTTCATGGTTATCTGTAAGGAATTGTAAATCTTACACTTAAGTAAAATAATACAATAATAATATTATTAAGAATTTATTACAGGAAATATCAAGTTTTATGGAAACATTGTTAACAATTATGTATTTAGTTACATAACAAATAAATAAAACTAATATAAATTTTGATGCTATATTCAATTTGTTGTTAGGTATTTTTCATTTTTTCTCTTTTGTTATTGGCAGCATTTTAGAATACTTTAGCTGTAATGCTAAGTTTCCTAAGTTGAACAAACTGGAGCTATTTCGTTTACGCTTTGTTACTTCTCTTTTCCATTGTTGTTTTTAGATCACTTTCTTCCAGTCATTTTACTGGGCAGTAGTGAAATTCTGAAATTTAAAATGAGCTTATTCCATTTAAAAAATAAAGCCTGTAAAAAGGAATATTTTAAAGTAATATATGACTAAAAATAAAATACTTTTGACAAAAGACCTTAATGATTTCACTATAATTATGTAACAATAATGTGATGATATTCCGCAGAAAAATCTACAATTTATGTTACCTCATCTCATTGCATGGTTATGAACTATTATACCTAAATTGAACTTGAAATATTGTGTAATTTTGTAAATTACTTGGATATGATCTGAATAATTTTTAGTGAGAAAAGCAATTTTTGATTTTTTTTTTTTGTTGAATGTGCTCCCTCCTCTGCCGAACAAGTCATATATTACTGACAAACTGAAATTGCCTGTTTTCTAAAGAATTGTATAATGTTAGCTGCTTTGAAACTTGATTAGGTAATACTTTACAAAACATTTATTACTAAGATCTATGTAGATTAACAACTATCATTAAAATTCCAAGTGGCTTTATTTCATAAAATTCTGGTTGGTATAAAGTCCATGATAATTATTATAGCCATTACTGATTGCCATGTAAACTTGACATGCTATTACTATGGCAGATGTCCAGACATTCCTTAGTCCCACCAGTTCAAACCTTCACAGCTAGGAACTGACATGGCATGTTCACAGGGGCAAATTATCTCCATTTCTTTCATGTTCCTTTGGTAAGGGGCAAGTTTCACTCAGTTTCATCTCTGGAACTGTTACTTTGTGGAACAAACTCCTAAGAGGATGCTTCCCTGATGACTACAATCTTAATATCTTCAAGTGCAGAATCAACTAATATCTTTCCTACATGTGCTCATAATACGTACTTCTTACTTCCCTCTTCTCTTACAATAATCTTACTTGATAATCCTCTGCTTTGAGTGGCCCTTGGGCCTTGTATTGTGTAAACTAACAGTAAAAAAAAAATTGTTGTTTTTAACATTTTAATTTTTTTCTAAGTTTTATACCGTCATCTTGTTATTGTCACATAATTTTAGCTCTTGTGCTCTCTCTGTTGTGTGTCATGGGACAATAGCTTAGTGGATTAAAGCATTGATTTGTGAATTTGGTGACATAGTAATTGTGAGTTCAATCCCTAGGCTGGGTAATACAGATTTTTTTTTTTTATAGACATTTCAACAAAAACAAGGCAATAAAACCAGTGAGATATGAGGGGAAATGGAATTGAGGCCAAGAGTGTAAAAGAATATAAGAAAAAAACAAACATTATTAAGGAGAGAAAGTGAACGGTAAAAGAACAGTAATTAAGAAGGCAGAAGATAACGATTGACTTTGCATTTAAATTTTTGAAATTAACTAGAAAGCAAGAAGAGAGTTCCAAAAGTGAGAAGTGTGAGAGAAGAAACTGTTAATATAGAACTTACAGTAACATCCAGCCATTTCAGTTGTAAAATGATGAGACATAACTGCCAATTTAGTACTGCACTTAAATTCATAAAGTCGAGGTACCAAAAAAGAAAGTGCATCAGAAAATATTTATAGCAAAAGCAAGGGGAAGCTATGTTATAGTGGTGGGAAAGTGACAGAAGCCAATTCAGTGAAAACAGGGTGGGTAATAAAATGAGGAGTACTAAACAAGACACGATATCCCTAGACATTGACAGCAGAATGAGAACAATCTACTCCTGTACATTAAATAAAGAGATCAGTTCAAAATTCTCTGATGGTTACTTGGACAGCTGAAACATAATAATCACAACAAAGATGAGGACATTAGTTTGAATGTAAATAATGATCACTCACTTGGAAATTCAAACAGAAATTTGGTTGCTTCACTTCCTGAAGGATACTTGGATTGACAGACACCTGAAGAAGGCTGGAGTATACAATAGCTGAAACGTCATAGTAACAGAAATTCAATTGCTTCATTTTATCTTTGATCTTGCAAATACAACATTTTGACATTTTATGTTTTCCTCAGGTGAATTGTTTATAAGAAAAGAATTTTTTTTCTCTGTTTAATAAAATATTAGACATTTTAATTGTGTAATTATTTATCCTCAACAGGGTGTCTGGCGTATTCCGATTGAGGAAGTGGACAGGCCGGGCAGTTTTGCTTCTCACATGAATCGCACAATCAAATTACTTATGGAAGTGCTTCGTAAACAGTGTGATAACCAGGTATTATTCCAGCTTCATATTCAGCTCAGCCGAACCCCAGAACCTGGCAGGTCAGTCTTGATATTTTTTTTTGTTTTTTTTTTTACTTTTCATTGCTGATCTCAGAAATTCATTCAGATTTACACTTTTTTTTTTTTTTTATCAAAGTAGTAGGTTAGAATTATACACTATGTGAAAATGATTTCTCTTTTTAACAAGACATGATACACATTGTTCTTTTTAACCCATTGTATCTAATTACTTTTAAGTTTTAAATAACAATTTGAGAAACTTGATTACTTTTTATACAAATTATGATAATAATTAAAATTTAACCTCTTTTAGATTTTAATTTTATGTGATGGATAATTTCAGAAATCGTTAAATGATTTTAAGATCTTATTTTTAATTTTTGACGCCTTTTATGTTCAGAAATTGGAACACCTGACTTTTGTCATAATATTTTTCCTGATGAAAATTTTTTTTTAATTTGTCAGGTAAAATCTAATAAGATGAATAATCTTTAAACCAACAAATAAATTTTTTAACCAATAATTTTGTACTATACTTACCGTATATACTAGTGGATACGTCGCACCTTTTTTCCCAAAAATTTCACAAAATATTAGGAGTGCAACCTATCGCATGATTTCTGAGGAATTCCTGAAAAAATGTAGCATCTCAAATGCCATGGATGGAACTGATGATGACATTATATGAGGATTTAGTTGCTTCAAGTACGGAAAAGGCTGAGAGTAAGGATTTGGTTGCTTCAAGCACGGAAAAGGCTGAGAATGAGGATTTGGTTGTTTCAGACAAAGATGAAGATGGTGATATCACAAGTGATGAGGAGTTGAACAACTACTATGAAACGGACAATGATGAAAACCTATTAACTGATGAACAAATAAGAATGATGTTTGACAACAATGATAGTGAAGAAGAATTCTTGGGATTCAGTTCTGAATGAATTTTAAAACTCTAACTTGATAGATAAATAGATAAACACTTTTTTCTAAATGTACCAAAACATTTTCTTCTGTAGTTATTTCTTTTTTTTTTGCCAAGTTGACTTGATATAAAAATAATATGTGGTAAATATAAAAATACTGGTACAAGAGTTACTTCCTTTTGTTTACATGATGATTGACGAAATGTATTTTAACTGCAAAAGTGTATTAGTAATTGTAAGTTTTGAAATAAAGGTAGAAATAAACATAGATATCTGATAATTCTTACATTTAAAAAGGGCTGTGTAACTCCCCAGATTATAGTGCAACCTATCTGCAAGTCAACAGTAAATCTTCAATTATTAAGTCATAAAGTAGGGGTGTGACCTATCCCCCGGGGGGGAGTGCTATCTGCAAGTATATACAGTATGAAGATTAGTAAACTTTTTTGTTTGATGTCATATAACGACTTCAACATTTTTCTTTTTCCTTCCACCTACATACAATGTCTCAAAAATATCTTTTGGGTTTGCATGCAAAAATTGAAACATCTGATGTTTCTAATGTTTATCCAGACTGTAAATGTCCAATGCTTGGACCTTACCTAACTTCATAAAATGGTAATATTACACATGTATCGGAGAGTCACATATATGAAATTGAGATTTCTGGTAGGCTAATGTTTATCCAGACTCCATAGACTATCAATAGTTGTACCTAACTTAATTTCTTAATACTGCAATATTAAATGTAAATAGGGGAAGGGTCATATATATATATATATATATATATATATATATATATGAGGAGGCACGGTGGAGTAATGGATAGTGGCTTGGATTGAGGAATCGTTCAATTCCAGTCTAATCCATTACATTCACTTACGTGCTAATACCCTTGGGAAAGGTGAATCCTCTTCTCCTCCCTCCAGCTATGGGTAAAATAGCAGGACAGACTGGGTTCTATAGCCTTGGATGGCAACTGGCCTAGGAGAAGGACAACTTAGTGCACCAGGTTTCTGTATTCGTCCCTTCAAAAAGTGTGGATGGTCCTGCACAAAGCCTTCACCACTATAATCAAATCTCATGTGTTGTTGTCGGGCTGGCGGTTTCCTGGAAACTGATCTGCTTGACCCTCATACGTTGAATTCATCGGGAGAGTCAACTATATATATATATATATATATATATATTTGAGGTCACTGATAGGCTAATGTTTATCCAAACTCCATAGACTAGCAATTCTTGTACTGGGCCTAATTCCATAATAAAATGATATTTTTTACCAAGATATATTGGAACAATGAATGCAAGCACTGACACATTAATTTATTTAAGATCCTTTTGTCTTTTTTCTTAATCTGTAGAAAATATTTGCGGGATGCTGAACGTGTGTGCTTCTCACAACTATCTTATGAATATGCCCTGGACACTATAGAGTTGCAGATGGAAGAGGTGTCTGAAGCCGACCGTGAGAGACAAATCAAATTCCTGATGGAAGTCTACAAAGTCTGGTATCACGGTGTCAATAAAGTTTACCTGCATGTTGAACGAACCAATGATATTTTCTTGGATATTTTCCGAGTCATCATGAAAAACACGGTGAGTATCTGAAATTGGCTTCAATAAATTCTTATTTTACGTGGCAGGAAAATTCAGGCTTTCACTTCAAATCTCATTTATTTACAATTTTATTTAAATTTTTGTCAATTTCTTACTTTCTCCTTTTCCACAATTGACTAAGGTCTCTCATTTATTTTCTTTTATATACATTCTCATGCATTTTTCTATTAGATAAATATTAATTTCACATTGATGAGGTATATTTTTAAATATTTTTTTTTTAATAAAATATTGTAATTTGGTTATTGTATGGTCATTCTGTAGATTATTACTTGGATTGTACACTCATTGAAAAATCAGTCAGTCAGTTATGTGCCATGCATGATACACGCTTAGGAGATCATGTATCTTTCAATACATGACTGACAAGGCAGATTTTTTTTTTCCTGCAGTAGGAGGTTGCCATTTCTTTCTGCAGTAGACCAGATGCCATCCCAGTCTGTCCTGTTATTTACCCATAGCTGGAGGGAGAAGAAGCAGATTCATATGTTTCCCAAGGGTATTAGCACGCAAGTGAAAATAATGGATTTAACTGGAATTCAAACTCGGCTCCCTGATCCCTCAATCTGAGCCACTATCCATTACGCCACCGTGCCTCCTTGCAAAATCACCTATCTAATTTCGGTCAGAATTTCTGAGACGAGGAGTTATCATTATTTACATTCAGACTAATATCCTTATCTTTGTTGTTGTTATCACAACATTTTGACAATTCAGAATTGCAAGCTTTAACCCTTTATTTAATCTACAGGATTGACTGCTCTCTTTCCACTGCCCATGTTTTGGGATATCTCATCTTGTTTTTAATACTGTTCAGTTATTGTTTACCCTGTTTCCACTGAGTTCAAGTACACACTTGCTGGCTAAAATTTCATGTTTGTACTGCATCATGATCATCACTCATATGACAGTGTTGTATAGTCACTGAGCACCTCTGACCATTTCTCTTCACATAAGTCAGAGAGGTATTCATTCATGAGTAGTGTGTTTTGGGTATGTAGACCTGGCTGAGCCCATCCCACTCCAGGTCAGACCACAGATGGTATCCTCCAACTTGAAGGCTCACCTTGGTCACAGACATGTAGCCATTCATTTTATTACCATCTGCCTGGGCCTATTAACTTCAGTCTAGGAAGATTTCTACCCAGCAGTGTCATGTCATCACTGCATGGGCAGCATACATTGCTCTGGAGGCCAGTCTACCCTATTGTTCTAGATGACCATTGACTCCTACAAGAAGGTTCATTCACTCTTTGGCAGGTATTGTTTTTGATTCTGTTGAGTGTCTAGCTACCCTCCTCATGAGAAGAGCCTGGTGGAACATCAAGTTTAGTTATCAATGAACCAACCTTATGGCAAGTAGTACTGGTTTACATTGTACCTGTTTCACTTGTAGAGTGACCGGACATGAAATAATATTTTTGCTGCATTTTTAAAAAATAAGAAGTTAACTAAAAAAAAACTTTAGGTTTGTTTTCTTTTTTTTTAAAGATATTCATTTGTCTTGAATAAATATTAATACCATTGATATTGTCCATTTTCAAATATGCTTTTTATTTTTATTTTGTTTTTAATCGATTCGCCACCCAAGCAAGGCAAATGCTATAGGAGTGAAAGAGAATGAAAAGACTAGAAGGATCTGGAAACCCAATCCTAAACAGGAAACAAGTGATAAACCTCTACTCCTGTTTGAAAGATCAAAGAGGAATGTCAACTGGGTGATAAGTGAAACTATCAACTCCTATTGAACAGAGAGAAATAAATAATTATTAAATAAAATTTCACAGTACAGACCGTGGTGTTAGAAATATAGAGTTGAAATAGACTTTAGAAGGACCTTGAAACCCAATCCTAAACAAGAAGAAAGGGATAAACCTCTACTCCTGTTAGAAAGACTGGGGAGGATAGTGAACACAATATATTACAATATTTTTTATAAAATATTATAATATGTTGCTTATATGGCTATATTTCTTCTTTTGTTTTTGTTAATGAAAGTATTCTTTTATTCCTTTGTCTTGGATATTTAAAATGTTCATAAAAGAAAGGCTTGTGATGTTGTCTCTATTCCATCCATTTTGTTTCAGATTCCCATCAAGACTACAACAGTCGAGCAACTGGAGCAGGCAATCCGCTTCTGTCAGCAGCAGTTGTCCATTGGCAAACCTAGTCAAGTGACTTACCAGTCTTCAATTCCAGTAATTATTCTTCTGTTTCTTTATTTTATTTACAAGATGATACACTGCAATTACTTTTTGTTAGCTTCATTTTCCTGACATCAAAACAAAGCTAATAGTTAAAATATCTCAAAACTGCATTTTTGTATATCATACATTAGAAAGAATTAGCAATAAAAATAATTTTGATTATTAGCATATAATTAAAACGAATGATGTTGAATAGGGAGAGAACAAAAGAAGGGTTAAGTATAATTTTCCAGGTGCTAAAGAATTTCTGTTATTCCCCCCCCCTTTGGGTTATAGCTAAGCGTTTGGAATATTTTATTTTTGCATTGCCCTTTTAGTTTCTGATTGATGACATTCAATATTAATGATCAGTAAAAAAGGATCAAATGAAGAAAGAATATTTTTGATTTTTCTACATATGATAGCTTTTGGGATGTGAAAACATTAAGACTTAGGTTGCTTAAAAGTATGATCTGTTTTTTTTTTTCTCTCTCTAAAGTTATAAAGTCATAAAATATTGATACATTTGTTTTATGTTACAAATGTGTACTTAAGTAAATGTGGTTATTATTATTTTATCTCTTTTATTAAATGAAACATAGTACAGCATTATTAATTTACTTTCATCTTCATTTCTTTTTAGATGAAGCATTATCAACCATAATTATTAATTTTTTACTAGCATTTACTTTTATCTTCATTTTTATTAAATAGAATATTGTCAGCCATTATTAATTTTTGACTAGGATTTACTGTTATCTTCATTTTTGATTAGATGAAGCATTGTCAGCCATTATTATTAATTTTTGACTAAGATTTACTTTCATCTTCATTTTTGATTAGATAATACTGATTTTGTGAAGTTAGTCTAGTTAAGAATCTTTCTGCACCTCCTTTTCTCTGTGTGTGTGTGTGCATGTATATACAGTCAATAAATTAATAAATATTCAATTGACTTATCTCTTGACCAACTTGAAACTTTTGTGGAACACTGATCATCAGTGTCAGATGGTCTAAAACTTTGAGATAAGTCGAAAGTTAAATTAAAGAAACTTTTTGTTGTAACCTAATAAAGGTTACTGAATGAGGAATAAGCAAAACGGAGGTTGGAAATGAAATGGTAATCTTTATAACATCAACAAAATACAATACTTGTCAGCAGCATGAAGTAGGTAAACCACTGCTAGTGGTGGACTACTTATACAGCATGTTACTCCCACTTACAATAGTGTCCAATATATTTATGAGGATTGAGACATACCCATTAGTTTTCATAGGTACGGTATATAACACTTTTATTAATTTATTGTCTGTTGTCACTATTGTTCTTTATTAAGCCCTTTCTTGACAAAAATTTTGTTTGCCTTGAAATTCTAATTTTCTAAAAACATTGGGACTTAGTTATTCTTGACATTATTAACATCCCATTTTTGATACTGACTAAGATAGTCAAAAGTATTTGAATAACCATGAACAAAATATGAGCTTTAGGCAGTTTATTCATAATTTCAATCCGAATATACAACATCTCATTTGGAAATTGGGAAATTATAGTAGTATATAATATATTAAATAGACAGACCTTGTCAGTTGAATTTAACAAAATTTATTTTCATAAGTTTGTGCTGCCTAAATGCATATTATATATATATATATATATATATATATATATATATAAGGTGTATTTAGGCAACCAAATTCATAAATAATTATATTGGATATACTATAACATGCCTAAGAAGAAAACTCACATCTCTCTGCCCATAGCTCAAATAGGTCTCATTTAAATACACATGGAAACCTACCTAATTCCATCTGCAATATACTTGTTGATAATACAAATGTAATAACCTCATCCATCATGTAAAAAAAGATTTAAAAAAAAATGGAAGCTTTATTAATAAAAAAAAAGAAAAAGCCAACAATTAATAATATCAACTATGAATATGGTCACAATCTGCTGACCATGTTTGGAAAATAAAACATTCCTCTAAATACATACATAAAACAATCCATACATTCAGTTAAAAGTAAAAAATAAAATCATTGTTAATAATTGCTAAAAGCATGGCTGAAAGTGCTTGGACAAACAGAACATTCCGACAATTTCTACATCATTCATGTCCAGAAAAGAAGAAAATAATATGAACACAAGAAAATTTAAATAAAAACTCATTCGTTTTTAATGAAACTTTTAAAGAGAGGGATTATTACCCAAATACACTATATATATATATATATATATATATATATATATATATATATATATATACACACACACACACACACACACACACACACAATCTTTTTCTCTATATATTTTGTATAGCACATTGTGATACTATTGCTTTTGTGATGATTGGTGATATTGTTTGAGCCTGATCTGAGGTTTATCATAGATAAATGTCTCATTACCTTCACTTTTGTTTGGATATTATTACACAACTTAATAACACCCATATACAGGGTGCGATGGATAAATTGTCGTTTAAATGAGGCAAAAATTGAAGATAACACTGACATCTAATTTTAACAGACATATTTACGAAAATTACACAAAAATATCTTGAAATACTAAAGAGTAAATTTATTCAATAAAATTGCCATTGGATTCAACCACGGCCTCTAGACGACTTCAAAATCTCCTGCATCTCTTCTGGATGGTCTCCTTGTTTAAGTTGGTGAATGCTGCCATAATCCTTGCCTTCAGTTCATCTTTTGTGTTACAAGGAGTTTTGTTGGTCTCTTGCTCAACTGCGCCCCACACATAATAATTAAGGGAGTTGCAATCTGGGGTATTAGGTGGCCGGATGTAAGAGTTGATGTGGTCACAGAAATTGTCTGACAGTCCTGACTGGGTTCTCCTGCTTATGTGGCATGGTGCAGTGTCCTTTTGTCAAACATAGCATCTTCCAGCAGCCACCCTCTTGACCCAGGGCAATACTACCTCCTCAAGTCACTTGAAGTAGGCTTCCATGTTAAGTCTGAAGCCTTCACCAACAAATTTGGGAGTTCTTTTCTTATCAAAACGATCAGAGTGAGTTTTCCAAGCTGCCATCACTCTTTCCAAATCCTCTACCTCTGATTGGCACCCAAACACTGAAATATTCATGTTGCTGCTTCTGGCACAAATGCTGTTTCCAAATTTTTGGCAGAGTGAATTGCATCATGGTGCTCTTTTTCTCTCAGACAGTGACCAATTGATCATACTATATTGTGCAGTTGACAAAATCAAAACAAACAACATACATGTGCAAAATTAAAAATATAAAATGGCGACAATTTACTCATCGAATTCTCTGTTTGTGTGTGTGTGTGTGTTTTTGTATAATAATTACATTTATTTACATTTACCACTCTCCATCTCTCCAGGTTATGACTGACTACCAACGCCAGCAGCAGCAGCACCATCATCACCAACAGCAGCACTATCACCTCCATCATCAGATGAGTGGCCAGTCATCCTCATCTTTGGGCACTGGTACCGGCCATACTGGGCCGGTTAGTCATGGCGGCCTGATCGCTATGAGCAGCAGTGGGGTAAGTGGCCATGTGAAGCCGTGCGACGTGGTCATTGTCTCCGAGCACGGCACTATGCAGACCCACCACCGCAACCGGCAGATGGAGCACGCCGAGTATTTTGGCCGGCCCCTCCATAGCAACTCTGTCACTGTTGCCAGTGATGACAAACTTTCTATCTCAGCGCCGGAGAAACTCACCTCTGACGTTCAGGTGCGTGCTGCATTTCCTCCTCCTCCACATCCACTTCCTCCTCCTCTGCCACCTCCTCCTCCTCCGCCCACTTACAACAAAAACAATAACAGCAGCAGTAGCAGTAGTAGTAGTAGCAGCAGCAGTAGTAGTAGTAGTAATAACAACAACAACAACAATAATAATAATAATAATAATAATAATAATAATGGCTATTTTTCTTAAGTTTAACTCCAATTCCACCATTTTTGATTTTCTTTTTTCCTTTGTTTTTAGTTTTTTTCAATTCTATTTTGTTTCTGTTTTGGGGGATTTTTTGACTGATATTAAAAAAAAAATTTTTTACTAAATTATAAAACGTTAAAAAAAATTTAACAATTATCATAATCTTTTTTTAAATGACCTGAACATTTTAAAATAACATTATAAACATCCCACTCACCCCTTTGAGAAAAAAATCAGGATAAGTTATTTTCAAATTTACCTTATTTAAAACAAATATTCTTTGAATGATTTGCTCAACTGATGCTCTGTGTTATGAAAATACCCCTCCAACGCTTTTAAAAGCATTTGTCAGCATTTTTGTCTTTCCCTTAAGATTTTATTTAAAAAAATAATCCCATATTTAAAATTAAAATTCATTTCATGACTATCATTTTTAAAACTGCAACAATGTTGTTCAGCATGAAGAGTGTTTGGATAGTTGCTGCTGTCAAAATGTTCCTGCAAAAAAAAAAAAAAAATTTTGGTTTTTACTATTTTCCAAAACATTGATATTTTTTTTTTATACTTATTATTTATTCATATTAATGCCTGCAGAATTGTTGGGGGGGGGGGGGGTTGGAGACATTTCTGCAGAATGGTATCAATTAAATATTAATTCATTCTCTTTTTATTTTCCTTTGCACTTTAGTATTTAATATCGGTGTGCATGAAAACCTGTTTAATTGTTAGACTGCTCATAACTGTTGTAAATGAGTCTTTGAATGAACCACACAGACTTAATTTCTAATCTTGCCACCAGATGGCACATTCATTTTTTTAAAAACCTTTTTAAAGTGAACTAAGCCACTGAATCTCATGGCTTCCATGTGTTTGTTTCAAACTACTGTTTTAATAATATTGTTGTAATTTGATAAAGTTATTAATTCAAAAATTACATTAAACTATTTAAGTTATAGAAAAATATTTAATTATATATATATATATATATATATATATAGTTTTCAAGTCAAAAAATGTATTTCAAATTATTTAAGATATAAAATTTATTTAAACAGCAATGTTGCTCAAGGTACTAAATAGTTTCCATTTTTTAACATTACTATTTTAAAAACTTGCAACTTTGTTGGCCCACTGTTTTTCTTATGGTAAAATAAATGATAGAATACTTCAAGTTAATTTAATAAAATACATTACTTTGCAAAATATTCATTTGCTAAAATATTTAATTGTAAAAATTCTATGTAACACATTTCATCCTTCAAAAAGGACTTCATTAGACTAAAATAATTATTTTATTGATGGAATTATATATATATATGTAGGTGGCAGGAATGAAAATATAAACAAAAATGTTGGATATGATTGTATGACGAGAAGAATGCAGAGGATATTGGAATGTAATATTTAAATTATAAATAAATTTTTAATCTTAAATTAGCAAATCTACTGCTATCATAATTTGTGATATTTAAAACAACAGCAATAAAAACAAAAGCATTAGGAAGATGAAAGAAATCAGCTATGCTGTATATCTAGATACGTTTAAAATTTGAAGTTAAGCATCCCTACATCTTCAGCGTTTCTTCTTGAAGTATAATTATAACAAATGTTTTTGTTTGTTTTCATCTACTCCTCCTACATATAAATATATTTAATGTCCATGATACATGAACGACCAATGAGAATTGAACCAGACAAAATTGAAAGTATCAGAATTCCGTTTTTTGTCTGCTTTCTCTCAATCTCTGACAAAGCTTTAATAAAAGTGAAACATGAGATTGATAAACATTTGTTCTTTATCTTATACTTGATTCTGATCCATTTTGATCTTTAACTCATATTTGTGTATTGAGTCAGCAATCCTTCTTTCATGCACATTTCATTGTATACAACAGACAACGTGCTTTTATTTAGTTTTTTATATAATTTCTCATGCGACCTAATAATTTTTTTCTCTTCTGATGATAAATTTTATAAAAACTGTCTGAATGTTGAACAACACTAATATAATAGCATCATCTACATGCAAAAAAGGGTTAAAAATAATGGAAGTCTTATTAATAAAAACAAAAAAACCAACACTTAATAATATTAACGTTGAACATGGACACAATATCTTGACCATGTTTTGAAAAATGAAAATATTTTATAAAACATACAACAAAGTATTTCTTATTTAACAGTTAAAATATTTAATCCTTGAAAATGGCTAAATGTATAGCTGAAAGTGCACAGATAAAAAGAACATTCAGACAGTTTTTATATAATTTATCATCCAAAAAGAAAAAATTATTAGATTGCATGAGAAATTGTATAAAAAGCTAAATAAAAGCATGTTGTCTGTCGTATTCAATGAATATATATATATATATATATATATATATATATATATATATATATATATATATATATATAAAATAATAATAGCTGGCCACTCGTATTTGAAGATTCCCATCTATTAGGGTGGCTAACCAATCCCTATTGCAGATGCTTGCTCAAGCACATTTGTGTTTGTTGAACACCCACAGAGCCAGCCTGTGGTTTATACTGTAACTATGCTGTGCAGACCTTAGTTACAGTTTCTTGGAAAGAGCATGTTATCTAGTGTGATCAACAATCTGAACAAAGCCAGCACACTCAAACCTTCAATCATGATGACTTGTGACTTTGTGCTAGCACAGCTATCAATTGATCCCAAGGGTTCCATATATCCATTTTCACTTACAAGGCTTGGGTCAACCCATGGATTGGTTTTCAGGCATTTTCCAAAGGTGCTGCACGCTGGGATTGCCACCTCCGGATCTATGACACCAGGAAGTCTACTTCTTGGCAAATCAACCATGGTGAGATTCGAACCTGGATTTCATGGTCAGAAAGCAAACGTTCTAACCACTCGGCCATGCGCCTATATATATATATATATATATATATATATATATATATATATTACATACATACATACACACTACAGTTCAAAAGTTTGATGTGACTCCTGGTAATTTTTTAAATTGGCCCAAAAATATAGTTGTTTGGTATTTTAAATAAGAGAAAATTATTATACATGGTTAAAAAGTTAGACACTATTTTCTATTAGAAATTTTATTATGACAAAAAGATAAAAAGCATTTTATGTTTAAATTTTGCTCTCATCAAAATATCCTCCTTTAGCCTTAATTACTGCAGCACAAATTTTTGGCATTCGTTGCAGAAGTTTCTCAAATTTCCCATCAATAAGAACATCATTTTAGTCTGATGAAGTCCTCTGAAGGACTTTCCATTTTTGTCATTCAATTACCTACCATTGGTCTGATAGTTTATATATCATATTTCTCTCGTCTGTGAAATTCTTGAGGATGGTTTGTCTTATGTTTATTGTTGACAATGTCTTTATACAAAACTTTTTTTTTTAAACCAAACAAAACAAGAATTTATCTGGTCATTCTTACCCATCATTTTCATTTTATGTTTATCAAATTACTTGCAAAAAATTCCAAGAAAATTTAATATTTAAAAGTTTTTTAGTATATAAATAAAAGCAGCAAAGCACTACTTTTTTAATAATTATAATCTTTAAAAAAAAAAAACAAATTCACATAACATTACTTTGAATGTGTACTTTTGTGCATAGTCAAAAAAAGTTAAGACAGAATAACTGAATCCTATTATACATTTACTTGCAATTATCAACTGTCGAGTTGGTATCATCCTCAGTTATAGAATCCTCATTTTTATACTCTTTAGTGTCATTTGTGCTTTTTAGGCTAACTCAAATTTTCTCTTTCTTCTGCTCAGTCTGTACTGATCATGTTCATTTTAGCTGCCAAAAACCTTTGAGTGATTGGCTATTTATATATATATATATAATCAACGAGAGACACAATCATAATCACACTATTCATGAGGGTCATTGGGACACTAGCACCAGTGGATGTGTTTAGGACAAGATAACTTGATGGAGCCCATATCACTTCCATTTTTTTTTTTTAATTTGAAGTTTTCCTTCTAGACTAATTGCCTTCACAAGGCTAAAGAATCCAATGATACTCTATTAAATACGACTGGTTGAATTTCTTTTTCCTATACTGGCTACCATTCCAAGGCTAGTGCACCTAGTCACACCTGCCATTTAATCTGTAGTTGGAGGAAGAGGAATTCATGACTTTTTCCTATGACATTAGTACAAAGCAAACCAAAACGAATATATTATTCAAATGTTTAAAATTTGAAATAAGTGTCTAATTTTCAGGCTGTAAGGTTTTGTTCAGTTTTATACATTTACATTCAAATGATGATATTTTTCTTTTTAAAATCATTCTACCTTCAAGCAAGGCAATACAGCCTCTAAGATGTGAGGGGCTACTGAAAGCAAAAGAAACTTTGAAAATGTTAAGGAGAAAGAAGACAATAAAGGAAGAGGATTCAGGGAAAACAGATGATGACAAAGGTTGCATTTAAATTTTTGAAAATTGTAGTTGAGAGGAAAGCAGGATGTCAGAAAAGAGTTCCACAAGCATGAATTGCAAGAGAAGAAACTGTTAACTTATGTTTACATCTAGCAATTTCAAGCTGAATTTGTACATTTTCCAAAAGTATTTGTGGATGTAATGAACTCTACTGGAATTCAAACTTGACTCTCTGATTTTTGATTCCAAGCCCCTATTTATTACAATACCCACACATCAGCATTCAGGCCCATATGTGTTTGTGGGACCAAATCAGGAATTGCCCTTTGGCAAAGCATAGCACTCAGAAGCCACCCCTGCCAGAGTTATGATGAAGACATTTGCAACTGGAGT